TGTGAGACCATGACTTGAGCCAAAGTCAGACGCTTAACCAACTGAGCCACCTAGGCACCCCAAGTTTTTAATTTTTACAATGAATTGTCTTTGTAATAAAAACTTTTGAGAGTGCACGTGTGAGCAAGTCGGGGAGGGGTAGAGGGAAAGGGAGAGACGGTTAAGCTGGCTCCATGCTCAGAATGGAGCCTGATATGGGACTTGATTGATCAAACCATAAGATTACGACCTGAGCCAAAATCGAGAGTCAGACACTCAATCAGCTGAGCCATCCAGGGATCCCAAAAGCTCTTAAAAATAAAAGTAATATATTTTAATTACTCACTAGGTAAGTAAATGGATAACATTTACTATATGATTTAAACCTTGGGGTGCCTGGAAGGCTCAATCGGTTAAGCGTCAGACTTCAGCTCAGGTCATGATCTCGCAGTTCATAAGTTCGAGTCTGGCATCAGGCTCTGTGCTGACAGCTCACAGTCTCAGCCTGCTTCAGATTCTGTGTCGCTCTCCTTCTCTGATTCCTCCCCTGCTCATGCTCTGTCTCTGTCTCTCTTTCTCTTTCAAAAATAAACAAAATAAAAAAATATTAATCTTTATATAGTTATAAAAGCAAAACACACATTAGAAAAAGTTTAAACATCACCTAATGGGGGAAAAGAAAAAAATTTAGGAGTCTGTCACCATTCCACCCACCAGGGGTGATCATTGTCAACAGTGTGGGACCTGTCCCTCAGGCTCTGTCTTTCTCATTCTGTGTCTGTCCCTCACACAGATTCACATACATATATGTGAATATATGTTTATATCACATATGCACTTTTTTAAAAAAATGGTATCATAGATAAGTACTAATTGTGAACTTGCTTTTTCCCATAACAGTATTCCTTCCTGACTCTGCACACTGGCACGCATAGACACACTGACCCCCTTTAACAGCTGCCCAGTATGCACTTGTACATCGGGACCATAATTTACTGATCCAATCACCTACACGTGGATGTTAGTGTTGTTTCCAGTTCTTTGCAACATCAAATGGTGCTGTGATGAACATGCTTGGAAAGATATCTTTGGAAAAATTGTGTAAGTATTTCTGTCAGATATATTCCTAGTGTTAGAACTGCCGGGTGAAAGGTATACACCGTCTGAATTTTGACAGGTGCTGACAGAGGGCTCTCCAAGACAGGGATATTGATGTACACCTCTCCAGGGGTCTCTGTGGTACCTGGGCTTTCTGACATTCTCACCAGGGTTGGGTGTCACTCAATTTGCAAACCTTGCCAGGCTGTTGGTGAAAAATGATATCTTAATAGTGTTTACATTCTCATTATTCATCCTCAGTGAGGTCAAGCATCTTTTATACTCACTGGACATATGAACTGCTTCTCTTTTGCATTGCATGTGTTTGTCCTTTGCCTCTTTTTAGAAATGTAACCTCTACCATGGGGGAGGTTAGGTCTTTTTCTGGCCTATATATAGCCTGTTAGGAACATTTGTCCAGTTGTGGTTTTTCTTTCAAGTTTTTGACATTTTTCTTCGTTTTTATTTTGGCCATGGAGGAGTGCCAGCCATCGCCTTCACAGCTTCTGGCTCTCATCTCCTACTTAGGGAAGCTGTCCCTACTCCAAGATTAAGAAAATATTTACTATTAGGGTTATTTTTTTACATATAATTTTTGACCCATTTGGGATTTACTTTTTTCATTAAAAAAACAACAACACCTTACTGTTAACGAAAACCAAAAACCATCAGTCCTCTCGTTAGAGAATCTGGTTTCATTCCAGTGAGCTGGGGAAAAGCAGATGCCCTGGGCCCATCTGCCTCCACCTCACCCCCACCCCTGGGGCTCAGGCACAAGGTCCACGGCACCACTTACTTGCAACCCGGACATCGTCGATGGTGACCACTTCATCTAACTGCAGCAGGAACTTCTCGGTGAAGGTGGCCAGGCTGGCTATGAAAAACCGGCCGTACTTCCTGGTGAATTCCTGCAGGGAACATGGGGAGTCTGCGGCTGCAAGGAGAGGGGACTGCCCCCAAGGCCAGCTGAGGGAGGACTTGGGGAGCTGGCAGGTGAGACGAGACCAAAGCCATGAGTCAACTATGTCTGAGTTAAGTGGCATCTGGTCCTCAGCCAAGAGGCCTCTCCCAAGAGCTGACTGGGCTCAAAGATAGGAAATGGTTTAGAACTGGTCAAGCTGGGCGCCTGCGTGGCTCAGTCAGTTAAACATCTGACTTCGGCTCTGGTCATGATCTCACAGTTTGTGAGTTCAAGCCCCGCATCGGGCTCTGGGCTGACAGCACAGAGGCTAGAGCCTGCTTCGGATTCTGTGTCTCCCTCTTCTCTGCCCCTCCCCCACTTGCTTTCTCTCTCTCTCTCTCTCTCTCTCTCTCTCTCTCAAAAATAAAGAAACATTAAAAAAAAAAGAGGTGGCCAAGGAACACCCAGAGGTTATTCACTAAACACAAAATGCATAGATGTGCGTCTTGAAAAAAGTTCTCATTAGTAATTTTGTAATTAATTCATTTAGAAATCAAAAGATGCAAGTTAAGCCAGCCAGTAATGACCAGCCAGCTCTATGAAACCTGCTGGCTTTCATGACCCCTTTGGCCAGGGTACCATCTAGGGGCCATGCTCAGTGCTGTTGCTGGACTGTCAGTTGGGGGAGTCTCTCTGGGGGCAGTACAGCCCTCAGCACCCAGGCCCGGCAGCCAATGGCACTACTGACCTCAAGCTTCTCCCTGGTTGCCATAATCACAGTGTCTAAATCGTTCTGCCTTTTCTCTTCCGCCTGACACAGAGACTCCATTTCTTGGATATGTGCGGGATGTCCGAGATTTTGATGGAGCTTCTGGGCATTTTCATCCTTTAATCAAACAATCCAGAAATCAGTGGGGATTTTGACCTGGTCTCTAGGTCAGGGCCAGAATGTCATGGGCCCATGCCCTCTGCTAAATGGCCATAGTCAGACTTGTGTGCTCTGACCCGGGTGTGGGAAAGGCCATGGATGGACAGAGGAAGGCAGAGAAGGCAAGATGGGGGCATGACTGGAGCTGACTCTGAGGGCTGGGGAGTGGGAGAGCTGAGCAGCAGCCCCAGTATAACCAGAGCCTTAAGTCCAATAAAATCAATGGCATCCATGTCTGTGCTCCAAGAACCAGGTAGACCTTTGCTGCTCATGTCAATGACCACACTCCCACAGAATCAGCAGACCCACTCATTAAATCCAAAAAAGGAGTTTATTGAACACCTTCTATGAAGAAGAAGGCATTTCTCCAATGCCCTGTGTCCCTTAGTCCCCATGCAACAATGCCAGCCTGGCCAGTTCTGCCTATGCCTTGCCCCCATTTCTGAGCTCCCAGGGGCCCTTGGTCCCAGAGAAGGAGGACTAGTCCTGGGGCTCCCACCTTCCTTATCTCCAGCTTCTCCTGATAATCCCAGAACTGTCCCCGGATCTCTTTGGCAGATGCACAGAATCTTTTCCAGTGGTGTTCTTTGAAGTTCTCCATCACCAGCCAGCAGACCTGGGGCAGCAGCTCCTCAAATCTCCTCATCTGGGCCCGTAATTCTACAGGAGTTGGGAGGTGGGGGACCAGGCGAGGGAATAGAGCAGAGCCAAGCTGCTGAAGTGATCTCTCCCACAAAGCCCCAAAGCAATTTCCCAAAGAGAAGGACTTGGTCTACAATGTGGTCATAGCTATCTCATTAGGAGGGATCCTGTGGTCAGAGCAGTACAGAAAATACTAGATTAAGCAAATTCAAAGGACTTCTCTTCAATACTCTACAGGACTTCCCAGCTTATGAAAAGTGCATGGAGCCTTGAGGAGTCTGTTTTATCCATTATCTCCTCAAAGATTGCCTCGACCCTGGTCCCCTTCTGTCCCTGGGGACCCCTAAGTAGCTCTACATTACACCTACTTTCTCATCCATATCCCTTTACCTCTCCCAGACTATCATCTCTTTGTTTCTCTGCATTGTGTTTTGGAAATTTTCTCTGATAGTAGAAGCCATTCACAATTTCAAAATTTCAACTATTTATTTTTCCAATATAGAAGTTCTATGTGGTTCTCTTTCCTATCTATTTGGTCATTTTCATAGTCTCTCACTCCTTCCTCATGTTTCCAGTATCCTTTTTAATTTAACTGTAATAAATACATTATTTTATATTCTGTGTCTAATAGGTTCAGTATCTGAAGTCTTTACTGATCTCCTTCTGCTGCCTCATGCTTTAGGGGCCTTTTCCGTGTGTGTGTGTGTGTGTGTGTGTGTGTGTGTTGTTTGTTTGTTTACTGTGAGCTCTTCTGGGAATTTGACTTGTGAGAATCCTTAGAGGCATGAATTGAAGGTGGGTTTCTTTTCTAGAAAGGATTTATGGTGTCTACCAGATAAGCATCTGGGCACCACTAATTCAAGACCATTTTAAGCTAAATTGTCGGTTGGAGGGCTTTTGGATGATCTACAAAAACAAAGTTAACTTCAGGCACCAAGGCCATTTTATAGTTACAGATTCTTATTAGAGTTTCCCTTCTGCTTTACCCAGTACCAAGGTTTTTTAATAAGACAGTTTCCTTCTAGTTGCTACTGCTGGTGGTGCTGAAGGACAGGGGAGGGGAACTTGGTTTCTGTCTCATTCACCCCACTTTGCAGCTAGAGCCCTGAGGGGGTGGTCCCAGTTTTCTGTGGCTTGTGTCCTTCCAAACTTTGCACCATGGGTGGTCTGGGGCTTTGTCTTCTGCTCCCAAAGCCCTGGAGGCCATGAAAACAAAGGCTCAAGCTCACCTGGGAGTCAGCAATATCCTTACGGCAATGTGTTACTGTTCAATTTCTTTCTTGGAGTTCCTATTTTCACCCAATGTGGGACCCTTGTGTATTTCTTACTTTATGGGTAGCTCATCAATTAAAAGAGCTTGTCCCAAAAATGGTATATCCAATACTTGTAAATGTTTTCAGTGGGAAAAGTGGTCAGCATACTGGACTCCCAAATTTCAGGAAATGGAAGTCTCCATTTAATGGGAACTGTGACTCTTCCAGAGAGGGACATAATCTTCGGCATTTCCCAAACCCATACGTTTGACCCCAGAACCTTTCTTTTGAGGAAGGTCACATAGGATAGGATCCCAGACTTCACATGGGGACATTCTGAGCTAGAGAAACAAAATGCTCCAGTAGTTTCAATGCCAGTCATTCTATAGCCACAGTAGTGAGAGCCACCACTGGTTATTTCCTCTGTATATGGCAAGTCTGTGTAGTGGGCTTAATCCTCAAAAAACTTGCACAGTGAGTGTTGTCTTTATCTCCAGTTTGCAGACAAGGAAACTGAGGCCCACAGAGGTGAGGTGACTTGGTCAAGGTCATAAGGCAGAGAGAAGGCAGTGCTGGGCCTTGAAACTAGGTCTAGCTCTCCTCCAATCATCTCCCTCTTCTACCCAACACAGCAGGAATAATTAGGACTTACAACCGCATAAAACATGCGTGGCTATGGACAAAGATGCAGAGGAACGTGGAGAAATGGGCAAAGGTGGGCGTTGGGTGTGTTTTCACAGCCTCTTTAATGTCATTACAATAAATGTAAATGGCAAGATGTATTCTACCTGCCTGTTTTCACGTCCCTATTCTCCAGGAGGCTGTGTCTATCGGGGTCATCAGAGCCCAGCATGGGCCAGGCATACAGTTGATACTTAACAAATACCCGTGGAAAGTTTTCTTCAAACGTTCAAATACAGAGTTACCACATGACCCAGCAATTCCACTCCTAGCTATACATCCAAGAGAAAGGAAAACGTATGTCCACACAAAACGTGTATGTGAATGTTTATAACAGCAGTATTCACAGTAGCCAAAGGTGGAAACAGACAAATGTCTACTGATGCAGGGTAAACAAAACGTGGCATATGCACACAATGGAATAAGAGTGAGTCATGAAAAGGAATGAAATACTGACACATGCTACAACACGGATGAACCTTGAAAATGTTATGCAGAATGAAAGAAACCAGTCACAAAGGAGCACACAGTGATTCCATGCATATGCAAGCTCAGAATAGGAAATCTACAGAGGCAGAAAGTAGTTGAGTGGTTGCTTAGGGCTGGGACAGTGATGGAAGGACAGGGAAGTAGTGATCGTTGCTAAAGAATATACTAAATCCACTGAGAATATACTAAAATCCACTGAATTGGAGATTTTACACGGGCAAATTGTGTGGTATGTGACTATCTCAATAAAGCTGTCAAAATTACCTGTGCAATGAACAAAACATTTTTAGTGATACAAATCACTAGATTTCTCAAGAAAAGTCATTTTTTTTTTTCAGTGTTGTTGTGCCTCCCAGTTAAATCTGATCAATGTTTTTACCTAATTCCAAGATGGCAGCTTTTCACCGGGAGGCTCCTGTGCCTCCCTCAGTGACCTCCTGGTCAGGAGGGCACCCTCCAGGCTGTGAAGCCCAGGCTGTGCTCAATTGGTGGCATGTGCCACACCCTCGACCTGCCTGCCCGCCTGCCGCCCAGACCCACCTATGAGGCAGGAGTTATGGTACTCGTCTGTCTGGACATGGTATTCCAGGATCCTCTTGCAGATATTCTCTGCACACTGGTCAAAGTTTTCGTACATGCAGTCAGGCCTGGTGACTGAGTGCTTCTCTTTGCGGTAAAACTCCTGCAAAAGAGGTCGATGCTGTCTGGGCAAGGATGCTCACCATGGGGCTCTGGCCCATGCTCCTGCATCCTCCACCCCACTCTCCACACCTCCTAGCCCATTCTCCTGATGTCACTCTTTCTACCCAACTGCCCTTTTTACCACTGCCAATATCCCAGTACTCAAGGCATAAGTGACTGAATGGCAAAACTCTTTTTTTGTCCTTCAAGACCCAAATGGAATCTCATTCCAACGACCAGGTTGAGAGAATTCTATGAAGTGCCAAACTAGGTACTAGGCCAAAGGCCACAAATATGGATGACTCACAGACCCTATTCTGAAGGATTTGCAGCCTAGTTGGAGGCCGACAGGAACGCACACAGACACCCCTGTGTGGGGTGTGCTGGAACTGTGCACTCGGTAGCTCCAGCAGCCCCATCCATCTCCCTGTGGTGCCGCCATGTCTGTTGCCCTACGCGGGGTGCTGGCCTCCCAGGGACAGAGACTGGGCTTGTTACTCTTAGCCCACCCAGTATCTGACATGTAGTAAGTGTCCGAGAAATGTTTGGTGGCTCAGTAAATGGATAAATGAATGAATGAGGTTTAATTTTTAGGATGAAGAAAACATCACATGAGGTGACAGAAGCTAGGTAGCTGTGGTTGTGGGTCCGTTTCTCTCAATTTCACCCACAAAGCCATTATCAGCAAAATCTAAGAGGCAGAGGTGGCTGGGGACATATGGCCAGCAGCCAGTCCAGGGGCACGCAGAGGCCTCTGGGCAGCAGCCCTCACCTCCACAACATTCAGCAGATGCTCATTGCTCTCCCAGAGGAGGGTCAGGATGATCCCTTTAAAATCCCTGAAAGACACAAAAGACAGATCCCTGAGGGGTCTTGTCTAATCACACCAAATGGTGTGGACAAAACCAAATGGACAGAACATTCTGAGTGCTCAGCAGCCCAGCCAGGATTGGACAGTTCATGTGATTCCCAGGTGTGTTCTCACCTAATATTTCTATTTGTCTAGTTTAATGGCTCTTTTATGTGATAAGCTGGGTTTGGCCGCTTCCAAGAGTCTATTCTCTTTTGGCCTCATCACTCATTGTAGCTACTTGCTCCTGCCCTGGGACCTTTGCACACACTGATTCGTCCCCAGAGAACATGGTTAACTTTCTTCTTGGTCACATTTGCTCCTGCTCTTCCTCAGATCCTAACCTGGTGGCAATTCCTGACCATCCTGGTCCAATGCTCTCAGAGTGGTCCTCAGCTCTACAACACTCCCCACAGAGGGATTTGGGATTGATTTTTGTGACCGGCTGATTAAACTCTATCTCTTCTAGAAGATGGTAAATTCCATCTAGACAGACCGCATGTGTCTGTTTTGCTCACCATGGGACCCCCAGTCCCGCTACAGAGTCTGAACTTATTTGTACCTCAGTATTGGTTGAAAGAAGAAAGAACAATTTCTTATAAATATTAATCAAACAAGCAGGACTTCCTGTAGGACCAAACATCCGCCTTCCGGTACCTCTGCCATTTAGGCTCACTCTGCACACACTGGGGCTTTATTAAACAAAGTTGCCCAGTACCAGTGGATATTCCTGGCCAGTTAAGTCAATTATCTCAGTAGTAAAAGTGAAATAAGGGAAGGGATAGATGTATTAGAACTTAATTTAACTTAGAACCTTAAGATGTAGGACACTTAATTTTTCACAATTTCTGTTAAGTGATGCAGCCAATTTCTAAAACATATGTATATAGGCCACTCACTGTTTCATTTTAAAATTCACTCATCATAACTAAAGAAAATTAGAAATATACTGAAAAGCAAAGGAGAAAATGAATGCCAACATTTTATTGTATTTCCTTCTGGCTGCTTTTAAAGTCAGTTTGGAATTAGGTTCATGTGTATTTTACATTCTGTTCAGTTGTTAAGTGTTCCCCCACATTAAGATATCTTTTTAAATGGCTGTGTAACACCATCTAGTATGTAAGCACCATGGTTTGCAATCCTCTATTTTTGGACTGCTAGGTTTTCTGATTTTTTTTAATCTTTCTTTTTTTAAAATTTATTTATTTAAATTCAAGTTAGTTAACATACAGTGTAGTACTGGTTTCAGGAGTAGAACCAGTGATTCATCACTTACATGTAACACCCAGTGCTCACCTCAAGTGCCCTCCTTAATGCCCATCCCCCATTTAGCCCATCCCCTACCATCTGTATTGAAGAGTCTCTTATGGTTTCCTTCCCTTCCCCTATGTCCATCTGTTTTTTAAATTCCACATATAAGTGAAATCATATATTTTGACTGACTTATTTCGCTTAACATAATACATTCTAGTTCCATCCAGGTCATTGCAAATGGCAAATTTTCATTCTTTTTGATTGCCGAGTAATATTCCTGTGGTGTGTGTGTGTGTGTGTGTGTGTGTGTGTGTGTGTACCACCTCTTTATGCATTCATAAGTCAATGCACATTTGGGCTTTTTCCATAGTCTGGCTACTGTTGATAGTGCTGCTATAAATATTGGGGCGCATGTGCCTCTTGAAATCAGCATTTTTTTAAGTTTATTTATTTTGAGAGAGAGAGAGAGAGAGAGAGAGCACAAGTGGGGTAGGGGTGGAGATGAGAGAGAGTTCCAAGCAGGCTGTCAGCGTAGAGCCTGACGCAGGGCTCAAACTCACAAACCATGAGATCATGACCTGAGCCAAGATCAAGAGACAGATGCCCAACCAGCTGAGCCACCCACGCACACCCCAAAATCAGCATTTTGTATCCTTTGGATAAATACCTAACAGTGCAATTGCTGGTAAGATACTTCTGTTTTTTGTTTTTGTTTTGTTTTTTTTTTTGGAGGAACCTCCATACTGTTCTCCAGAGTAGCTGCACCAGTTTGCATTCCCACCAACAGTGTAAAAGAGTTCCCCTTTCTCTGCATCCCTTCCAGTATCTGTTGTTTCATGAGTTGTTAATTTTAGCCATTCTGACAGGTGTGAGGTGGTATCTCATTGTGATTTTGATTTGTATTTCTCCAATGATGAGTGATGTTGAGCATCTTTTCATGTGACTGTTAGCCATCTGGATGTCTTCTTTGGAGGTGTCTATTCATGTCTTCTGCCCTTTTCTTCACTGGATTATTTGTTTTATTGGGTGTTGAGTTCGATAAGTTCTTTATAGATTTTTGATACTAACCCTTTATCTGATATGTCATTTGCAAAAATCTTCTCTTATTCTGTCGGTTGCCATTTAGTTTTGTTGATTGTTTCTTTCGCTGTGCAGAAGCTTTTTATCTTATTTTTTAATGTTTACTTTTGAGAATGAGAGACAGACAGAGTGTGAGCAGGGGAGGGGCAGAGAGAGAGGGAGACACAGAATCTGAAGCAGGCTCCGGGCTCTGAGCAGTCAGCACAGAACCCGACACGGAGCTCGAACTCGAACCATGAGATCATGACCTGAGCCAAAGTCGGTAGGTTAACCAACTGAGACACCCAGGTGCCCCCAGAAGCTCTTTATCTTGATGATGTCCCAATAGTTAATTTTTGCTTTTATTTCCCTTGTCTACTATTTGACTAGGCCTCATCCTTGGACACCGCCTTTGGCTTGCTATGTCCTATGTTAGTAAGAATACTACTAAGTCAGGGGCACCTGGGTGGCTCAGTTGGTTAAACATTGGACTATTGATTTTGGCTCAGGTCATGATCTCACTGTTCATGAGATCGAGCCCCATGTTGGGCTATGCACTGACAGCATGGAGCCTGCCTGAGATTCTCAATCTCTCTCTCAAATAAATAAAGATTTTAAAAAATAAATAATTAAATAATTAAAAATACTGTTAAGTCAGTTCAGATACTACCCACCCACCCCACCCAATATCTGAGCACCTCTGATTTCCAATAGCCATGGCCTGCCTGCAGCAAGAATCCTGCTAAGTAGGCAAGAATCCACTACCGTTGAATTTTCAATCTACTGACCTCCTCACTCTGCATTTCGGCTATAAATCTTCTCTTGTCCTTATTGTATTCTGAGTTGAGCCCCATCCCTCTTCCCTGTTGCAACAGTCTTGGCACCTATTGCAATGGTCCCACATAAAGTATTCCTTACTGTTTTAACAAGTATCAGAATAATTTTTTCCTTAACACCTCCCACTGGCAGTGCCTGGGAGGGACCATCTGCACCCTCCCTTGATAAACTGGGAACTTCCTCTAAAATCTATTTACATATTGGTTAATGTTGGGCAAAATATGGAATGGATTTGTTCCCTTTTCATTTGTTTGCATTCTAGTGAGAATTAGTGTTTTGTCCACATGTTTGTTCCTAATTTTATTTCTTCCTCACGTGTGGTCTCTTCCAATTCTCCCCTTACCCTATGGTGTGCTGGAAATTTCTTTAGCAATTTTCTAGGGGAAGGGGATGGGGAGAGGAGCCAATTTTTCCTTTGTTGTCTTTATTTACCACTATTGTGTCTTGACTGGTTGTTATCTAACTTTTAATTGCATTTTATCTCAAAGGAGTTTAAAAATTTATTTGCCAAAATTTTCCATCTTTTTCCGTGTGATTTCATCTAGTGCTTTTTGGAGTGATGATCCTGCATTACTCGAGGGCGACCTGTAGACGACTTGCTGGCTTGTCTTCACAATTCCAAGAAGAGGACTCTCTTCTACCCACGTGCACAGGGAAGGTGAAGGCTTGGGGAGAAGTCACTTAGCCAGAGTCCCAAGGTGGGTGTAAAAACATCATCAGTCTGATTCCATTTTCTGAGCAATTCACCACTGTGTTATGCTAGGAAAGTCTCTCCCTTTCAGAGATTTCATAAGTGCTTGATTTTTTTTTTTTCTGTTTAGCCTGTGATCTTTTTTTCACCACTAAAATACTGTGGTGCATCCATACTGTGGCTAACTATTTAGCAATACAAAGGGATGAACTAGTGATACATGTGACCACTTAGGTGGATCTCAAGGGCATCATATTGAGTACAAAAAGCCACTCTGCAAATGTCATACACTGTATGAGACTGTTTATATGACCTTCTTGATATTGCTCAGGGTTAGGGATGGAGAGGGAGAGGGCATGGGTACAGCTATAAAGGGGTGACAGGAGTGACATACAGTTGGTGGTGATGGAACAGTTCTGTTTCTTGATTGTGGTGATAGTTACATGAATATACACATGTGATAAAATGACAGAACTATAAAAAGTTGAGGGTCAAGATTTTGATGATGAGGAATGCCTTTTTGTGAATGGGACAAGGGAGCATCTAGCTGCTGACTTGGACCCAACTTCTAGGTCCTGAAGTCACTCTTCTTTTCTTTATTTTTTAATGTTTATTTATTTCTTAGAGAGAGAGCTGGGAGAATGACAGAGAGAGAGGGAGACAGAGGATCCGAAGCAGGCTCTCCACTGTCAAAACTTGACATGGGGCTTGAACCCACGAGCCATGAGATCATGACCTGAGTCAAAGTCAGACACTTAACCAACTAAGCCACCCAGGTGCCCTGAAAACCACCCTTCTTTGCAAACTTCACAAACCCCAGAGATAAGACCAGTGGGGCAAAAAGGCTGATGGTGAGTTCCCTGATTAAGGGGGAGAGGGTATCTCTGAGTCTCTTTGATTGCTTTCAATTTTCTGAAGTTGCTTATTTGCTTGAAATGTAGCCATTAAGTGGAACAGAGTTTGTTTTAATAAATGAAATTAAAATAAAGGGAAAGAGGAATGAGGGAGGTGAGGCATTAAAAAATTGAAGAAAAAAACCCACAAACTAATCCCAGACTTGAAAGAGGTGTGCTTCCCGCCACCCCAAAAAGCTTAACTTAGAAAATGTGAAATTTTGGTGAAAATGTCTCTCAACAAATTTAGGTGAAATGGGATGAGACAAACTGACCTTGACCCTCATCTTTCCCCTTGCAAATCTCTCCTGCTCTGTCCCCACTTCTTATTTTCCCCTCAGCTGTGTCAGATTTAGCCACCCCCTTCACAGAGACAACAAGTTAAAATGGACTTAAAGGAAAAGGTGCCACTTACTCAGCTGGCGGCGGTGGCTTCTCCCCGAGCACCTGGTACTTTCTGTCCATTCGGTTGGGCTTGGAGTACCGTGTGATGCTGTGGGACAAAGGTGGATCAGTGTTCTGGAGGCTGGGGTAGACAGGCAGGTCTGTGGGAGCCCCACCTAACTTGCTGGAGGCCCTGCGTCTGCCTGTGGGACACCGTGACCCCCATGTCTGGGCCTGAATCCTTCAAGATACTTCCCTATTCCTCAAAGCTTTGGAGATGCTTATCGTGGGGGTCAAGTCCTTATTGCTAAAACTGACCCAAGGCCCCTGGGAAGGGGCAAGGGGCCAGAAATTCATATCCTTGCTTTCCTGTGGGGAGGACCCAAAGAAAAACAGGTTGAGGTGCTTTTCAAACAAAAATACAATGTGCCCAGTTAAACTTGAATTCCATATAAGAAGCGAATAATTTTTAGTGTAAGCATGTCCCATGCAACATCAGACAGCCCCAGCAACATGGACTTCATTTTGTAACCACTGAGAGACTGAATATACAGATGGGCAATAGCTGGACTGTACAAAAATACAGAACTCTGACCCAAAACCTGCAGCAACGTGCCCAGGAAACCAATTCCTTGTCTATAATAAACAACTCAGGAAGCCAGCCTGATAGAAGTCAGACCTGGAGGAAGCCATATTGTCATCTCTAGTGGCAATCCAGAATGCCAAACAATAACTCCTGTAATAATCATCTCCAAATGGCCGGGACTTGATTACTAACTGACAGCTTCCCTGAATTTTGTCCCTGCTTCCAACTTAGAACCAATCAGGGAAAGTCAAGTACACAGCCCTAAATAATCACATAGAATGCCCTGCTGCTAGTTGGCCTGCCTCCAGCTTCCCCACATCAACAGCCTCCAATAAAGGCACATTTAAAGCCTTCCTTTTCTCCACTATACAGTTTTTTCACTCTTGTCTGCCTTTGAGTCTCTGCTAAAACATAAGTAATGATGGCTGACTCCCTTGCTGTACCAAGCTCCGAATAAATAGCCTTTGCTTTTCTCATTTGGTTGGTCTTAGGTTTATTTCCACGTTGCAGATGGCATTCATGTTCATGGACCTTTTGGAGGTATGCAAAGCAGGAATTGCCTCACCGCTACTTCCTCAAAACCAGGAATCAAACCATATAAATGAGGGCTCACAGAGGACCCAAAAGTCAGTTCAGCCACTGGCTCTGTTACTTGCCTTCTGTTGAATCAGTGTCAGGGGCCAGTGGGGCCCACATTCACTGAGTAATGAGTCTAATGACCCCTACAGGGGCATAATGGGCAGAGTGCCTGACCAGGATGCAGAGGCCCAGAATTTCTCCTGGAGAGAAAGCCATCTCCAATGTCCCTCTTTTTGACTGGGAAGAATGGGTATGGGAGGAGGGCTGGGATCTACCAGTTGTGACCATGGAAAACCACTGAATGCCCAGATGGGCTCTCAAGGTGGGAGGCCTGTGTGAGCTGCATCACTCAGCAGGAATGAGCACAGACCTGACTAACGCCAGCTTCAGAGCCAACCTCTCACTGGGTCCATTGGGGCCTCAGATCTGTGAGTACAGGCGGTACTTTCCGAGGACAGTCTGATAAATGGACAGGGTGGTCTCTGGCCTATGTCTATGGGGACAGGGAAGGCATCTGGGAAGGGGAGATCCTCAGCAGCGCAGCAGACCTACCTCATTGTTGAAGTGGCACTGGCACTGGACAGGGCCTTTCTCACGACATGTTCTCCCCGGTTCCGGTGTCGCTTCAAGCCTTTGGGTGATGAGCACCCAGGACAAGAACAGAGGACCCAAGGTGAGGATGGACCAGGTGGCAACACTGGCTTTCCCACCTCCAGTGCCCCAAGACCCACAGGCCTGTTTGTCTCTACCTGTCTGGAACCGATCTTTGTCGCACTGCTGGGTTGAGCATTTTGAGTTGGGAAGTCTGAAACCAAAGGAAAGGATATGAGCTTTTCCCCAGTGACCATGAGGACAGCTCAGGGCAGGCATTGGGTACCATCCCAGTTAGCACATAATACCATGTGAACGTGTCCTATTATGAGGCCCATTTTAGAGGAGGAAACTGAGGCCATGTACACCCCATGGCCACTCACTGCAGGATCTTCTTGACCACTTCCACAGCCGGGTCTTCAATCATGGACTTCCCCATGCGGCTGGGCTGGGCAAAGGACTCAGGGGTGACCAAGTCTACCTTGGCTTCCTCTTCAAGGACTTCTGAAGACACCAGGATGTCACTCTCCACCTCCATATCGATCATGATGTCATCCTGCAGGCCCAAGAGAAGGGCCTGAGTGTGTGGGGCCAGTCTACATGCTAGGGATGAAGGCAGCTGGGTTCATGTTCCAAAAGCACCTTGCCCAGGGGCTGCAGCAGGAGGCTAGCTGCCTGATTCTTTGAGTCTGTATTTTCCTTCTAAAAAATGGTAATGGTCATATCTCCTTTAGAGAGTCATTCATTCATTCATTTATATGTGCATGTGGCTTTCAAAAATATTTCCCAAGTACCTGCTTTCTGCAAGGCTCTGGCTGGGTCCTGGGACACAGGGTGGAGAGGTAACATGTGATCTTTGTTTTTATAGGGCTTACAGTCTAGTCAGAGAGACAAACATTTAACATGCACTTCTACAAATAAATGTCTAGTCAAAATTGTGACCAATGCTATGAAGGAAAATTTCCAAAGTCTTCCATGAGGCTGAGGGTCGTGGATTTACAAGGCCAGCCCATAGATGTGTCCAGGCAGTGTTCTTAAAATGGGTGAATGAATGAATGAATGTGTGGACGAGTGAGTGGCCAACACGCCCTACAAGTCGGACCTTAGAGAAAGGGTAGGAGTAGTGGCCCTCAATGAGGGCTTAGTTAGGCTATTCCCTATTTTATTTGAGTCTTGTCTCAGCAGTGGACTATAAGAGGGAAGGACCCTAGCTGGACTCCTGAGTTCTTTCTTGAAGGGCGCAGGTGGTATGATGCTGGTGGTATGATGGAGGGTTAGTATTGGTGGCATGGTGGGAAGCGCCTCCCCATAGAAGGAAGGACTGGTTCAAAACATGGCAGTGAGAGCAGAACTTGAGGGATGTCCACTTATTCCCATATTGTTCTATGTCACACACTGCTGGAAGTTGGTTGAGTGTCTCTGGTGTTCAAAACCTGATGTGAGGGGCTGAGTGCAGAGTGGGGGTGACAGAAGCTCTGCCCTCTTGGGGTACACAGTCTGGAGAGATAGCCCCTAAAAATGGAGACATCACTGTGGTCTGTGAGAGAAGGCCCAGTGGGAAGTGATGTCTTTTGGGTGGGAGTGGGGGTGAGAAATGAAGAGACCATGGAGGGCAGACCAAAGAGGCTGCTGTGAAGGCTCAGTTGAAGGATGTGGATTTCACCCTGAGTGATCAGGAGAGTGGCACAGTCAGACTGACCTTCTCCAACATTATGTCTGGCTGTAGTTCAGGGAGTGGATCATGAGGGAATGTGAGAGGAAAAGGGCAGCCATGTGGGCAGGAAGAGGTTGGTGGAGGTGGGGTGGGGAGAAGCCAGTGGTTGCTTATGCGCATGGGTGGGAAGGAAAAGCCTGAAAGGCAAGGGTAGCCTGAGAGCTGGCAGCTGGTAGGTCTTGGTGAAGGTGAGGAGATGGTGCCAGGAGGTGAGAAATCTCCTAAGATGGCAGGGAAGTGGACTATTTGGGATTTGAATCCCAGATCTGACTGCACAGCCTATGGTCTTTCCAAGGCAACCTGGTAGGCCTGGTGTTCAGCAGGACCCTGGGAGCCGTCTCTTCCCTTAGGCTCTACTGAGCTCTGCAGGTCTCCTGAGAGCCCAGCCGTGACAGCTCACCCACCCTTCCCCACTTCCCATTCCCTTCCTCTACTGTCTGTTCCTTACAGTAAAGACAACTTGAGTCGTGTATACGATGTCCAGCCTGCAATTCAGGTACTGAATCCTCTGGCCCAGTTTTTCTTTCCAAGTCCGGACCAAGCCAAGGAGGTCATCCGTGGCCACCACCTAGGAGAAGAGAGCTGCAGGAAGCAAGCTGCAGGAGGGCCGCCTGCCTCCATCTGAACCACAGGCCTCTTGATTCGATGGAGGCCCCTCACTTGCAGGGAGGGCCCTAGGAGAGTGGGCGGTGCTGGCTGGCTCTCTCAGGCAACTGCAGTGGGGCAGTAAATCCTTCACTGACGGGGCATCAGGATTTCTAGTCCTGGTTTTATGGGTTCATTCTGGGCAAATGATTTGAGTTAGCTCAACTTGGTCTCCCCATCTGTGTGGTGGGACACAGAATGTTCCTTGGAATCTCTTCTAGCTTTGACGCTCTTAGAAGGAAATGTTTGGCCCCAAATGGCCACGTTGTGTGTGAGTGAAATGACCACAGCCTTTCTGGAAAGTGATCTAACCATTTCCACAACAAGCTCAGATACACACCTCCTCAAGCAGCAATCCCACAGACCCTGCCCCCAGGTGTGCAGGAAAGAACATGTAAGGACGTTCACCTTTACGTGCACCCACACATCACTTGTCAGTCCTCACACTTGGTCCCCTGCATTGTTCACTGACCTATGTACATGACCCAGGCCAGGAGGTGCCTTGGCCTCTTCTGCTTCCTTCATTTCTAGTGAATTCTGAGTCCTAACCATTCCCCCGCTACTCAACTCTGGAATTGGAAGGTGTCCCTGGTGGTACCTTGTCCAAGCCACAATTCTCTGTGCTTCAGTTATGACACGCTGCCTCAATCCTCCCTCCCTCCCTGCCTTTCTGCACACAGCAACCTGAAGCCCCTCCATGTACGTGGCACTGAGCATGTGACCCTGGCCACACCTGTCCATGGTCCCCACTGCCTTCACCATGCAACTGATGCATCGTTCCCATCTCCTGATCACTGTTTTGCAGAGGTGTCCACCCAGTCTCCTCCATCAACACAGGATTGCCTGCCCACCCAAGTTCAAGTTCCCCTGACCTAGCCAGAAGGCTGTGAAAGCCTTCCCCTGTCCAACACTCTGACACCACAAGAAGAGGGCAGTGAGGGGGTTGGAGAGGTGAGGAAATGCAGGAGAGCAAATGTTTCTGCTCTGGAGAGGCAGAGCTGTCCCTAAAGGGACTGATAAAGAAGTCATGGCAGATTAAGCTGGTTTCCCCCTGTTCCTCAGGGGTCATGCAGAAATAACTGCATAAAAACACAGAGGTCACAGGGGCTCTGCAAAAAAAATGAGAATAATATGAGGGATGTGTATTCACTTAGTGCTTTGTGGATGTTTGAACTTTTCTCAAGAAGCATGTGTTACTATGCAAGAAAAAGCATAGAGACTAAATGTCCTCTCAGTGCTAACAAACATGAAACCTCAACTCAGTCACTGAAATGGAAGAGAAAAGACAAAGCTTGGTGAGGAAGGAACATCCCATTCAAGAAACCTCCAGTTGAGACATCTGGTTCTCGAGTGCCTGGTTGAGCTGTTGGGAAAAGATTGCCCGGGGAGGCCGGGACAGATGTGGAACAGGGGACAGAGATGTGTGCTGGTGGCAGAAAAACAAGCATGTAAACAACGTAAACATCCAGAGACCTGATGTGCTGATCCACACTGCTCTAATTTGGACATTTTAACCAGTAGTAACCGTAGAAAACAGTAGTAACCAGTTCATGTGCAATGATCAAAATGAGCAAATGAAAAATCAAACAAAAAGTGGTTGTTCAGAAAGCAGAGTCCTGCCTGCTTCTGTTTTTCCTCTAGGGCTGAGTTCCAATTACAGGGAAGGAAGCCTGGTGACATCAGCAGGGGAGTGAGGTCAGACTGAAGCCCCACGTTCACTGGACTCTACATGCTTGCCAGGGAGGGGCTGGGGGCGAGAGAAGGTGGCTGTTTTCTCTTCTCTTCCTTAATTCCATTGGGTCCAACAGGGGTTAAGTAGGAAGGCTCAGAGGCCCCTCTGGAGCTGGAGAAATCTTGATGACAGATGTAAATTTACTTTCAGTTTGATTCTTGTATAATGGCATCTTCACTATTCATAGCTTAGCAAATACTGAATACTTACTTTTTTATCTCCCTTTGAGTTTCGACACATTTCTATTTTCCTTTGAAGCTGTTCCAGAGACGAATTCAATCCATCTGTTTGCAGATTGGATTTTGCAACCTAGAAAAACCAGAACTTCCAAGGTTTGTTTCTAGAATACTTATTTTTTTATTTATTATTTTTTTAATATGAAATTTATTGTCAAATT